CCCCAAAACCCCAAAACCCCAAAACCCCAAAACCCCGTTATATTGAATTGATTGATGATTGGCAATAATTAATTTATAGAATTAATAATTAGAATTAATGGATAGAAAGCCACCCTCAGTGGGAGCAGTGCCTCCCGGTATGGAAGGCGAGCACAACAAACTCCTCTAAGACAAGGCCATCACTGTTGATTTCATGGGTCTCCTTCAAAGCGATTTAGTGCCCTAGATGTCAAAGCATAAAGGCTACTCCTATGTTTACAAGTTTCCTGAAAACTCCGATGCTCAATAAAGTCTAATGAAGTAATTGAGAGTTGCAAATACATTTTTGAAGGACTCAGGAATATCAAATTCAATTGAGGCAAAATACCCGTCTGCCCGTATAAGAATATTCGGAGGTACCAACCCAGGGGAGAAAGAGAGAAGAGCCAAAATCACATCTGCAAGAAAGACTACCAGAGGGCAGGTCAATTTATTGTGCAGGTATATGCTTTTCAAAAAGGGAAAGTTCACCCCTGGGAAAATGGTATGAGCACATTGATATTTATAAATTGGTCATCACAGGAGAATCTAATTGCTGCTAGTAAACGAAGTGGGACATTAGCAGCGAGGATGAACTCAACTCGATTGTTTTCATTAAATTATTTAAATTAATGCAGTTTAATCTCTTAACTCTAATTCTATAATTTCCAGAGTTCATATTAGAGAACAAAGAATGAAATAAGTTAAGATGCCTTAAGAAATAAGTTAAAAATATATTCATCATTGAAGTCTATGGCCTTGACCACCAAATGGAGTGAATCCACTACCATTGCTATCTCTTGTGCTATTGTTATTTCCACCACCAAGATTGTTTAAGCTAGGGTACCCATTCATGTTTTAGTTTTATGTCTGTTGGCTTTAAATGCTGCTCAGTCCTCCAAGAGTTTACTGTCTCTACTAGCTCAATGGAGGCTTTTATGTGAAATCATGGTGAATGATTTTGGGGATGTGATTTAGAGTGCTTGGAGGCTGATATGGCACTTGCTATTGATGCTACTGCTGGCTTTGATTTAATGGCTGCTAGACTGCGGGTGCTCTGTGTTCAATTCCATGGTTAAGGCCCCCTTATGCCGCGGCAGCATTTCTAAGTTACAGCTGCTGCTGCCTTATGAAATTTTCTCTCATAACTCTCTGCTCCCTTTGGTATTAACTATCTCTTTCCTCATCACTGTCGGTATCATCAAACTCTCTGTTTGCTCCATTGCTGAATCTTCCTAGCTGTATAAAGAACAAAATCTTAAAGTGGCTGTAAGCACGGTAAGAAAAGTATATGGCTATTATAAAGTACACGATCTGCACTATGAAGAGGAACTGCATTACGATGCTTGACTCCTTATCTGGATCTTCAGAGTTTTTTGTTTCATATTTCTTCCAGTCCATGACTGCAAAGAGCAGATCAAAGATGCACATGATCAGATAGATCAGCACACTACAGAAATGCATTGTTGCAAATGCTGAGTAGATCACCCAGAGGTTAATAAGCTGAAAAATTCCAGCGAGACCTCCATACTGAATGAACTTAACGAAGCAGATCACTGCTTGTCCATAGTATACGATCTTTAACATTTTTCTTAGTTTGACAGCTTTCTCGTCTGGTGAAATCACAGGATAGTCCGGTGATGGACAGCATTAATCCATTTTATTCAATTTGAGATATTATCTTGAATCTGATTAAAATTATAATCATGTTAGGTGGGGTTTTGGGGTTTTGGGGTTTTGGGG